AAATTTTTATACAAATAGACTAACTTTGATTTAAAGTAAACATATAAAAGTTGAGAAGAATATTGCTTGCAACAATGGACACGGAAGTAAAGAACGACTGGGAGGGGAGCACAGGGACACAGCAAACCCAGCTCCCTGGATACCTCTCCATCTAGGACAGCCATGCTGAGGACCTTTGCGTTCAGCCACAAAGTCTGACTGAGCTTTGTAATCACACCTTCATGTCAGCAGAAAAAGAAAACCAGGGAGGTGGCGGTAGGGAGGGACAACAGAAACAAAACAACCAACTGCAAGAAAACTGGAAGGCACGAGCACCTGTGTGATCTAGAATGTTCTTGGAGTGAAGAGGGAGGGAGAGGGATACTTTTGGTTTAGCACTACAGTCAAGTCTGCCACTGCAGAACAATACAAAACACAGGTGTGTGGAAACATAAGCACATCTTACTTGTGAGGAAGAAAGCTCAGAAGACAGCTCGCAAAAATAGTGCAGAGAGAAACAACCAGTACTATTTATTTGGATGTCTGTGCTGTGGTGGGTACAAACTATATTCTCTGCTCTGTGGGACCAAAACCAAACCAGATAAAAACAAACAAAAATCCCCCAAATCCCAGAAAGCAGCAAGAAGGAATGCAGGAAGTCTTACAGAGCATACTGATCCGAAGGGCACATGGCACTCCTTACTTTACTGTGCTACCTACCAAGTGACTCCATCTGCTATCTACGCGACCAGAGGGGACCTCTGAACATCCGAGCCACCAAGTACTCTCTCTGACTCAACATGACTTCCCTTCTCTTCATTTCTTCCTTCAGGTCTAATTAGAGTCTGTTTCCTCCGTGAAGAAAGTGCTGTTCATGTAGGCCAGTAACACTTGCTACCAGGTTTCCAGAACACTGATCTCACATTCCTCAAAGCCTCAGCATGTGCAGCCATGCCGTGTGGAGGCAGGACTGAAGGAGGCCCGAATGGGGCTATGAGTTAAAAACACAAGGAAAAGAAAAAAACGAAACAAACCACCCCAAGTTCGTCTTTTCTCAAACAAAAGGAGAAGCTGAGGGATGGCATGGCCTTCAGTGGGTACCCCAGTTAGGAGATGATGGCTGGGGACCACCGTGGCAGAGTCAGGTTGTCAGCACTTGCTGACCGCTTCCTGGTGGGTCTTCTCAGGTCTTTGTACTTGTCCTCACAGAGACGAGAGATGGCCTGAAAGGAAGAAAGATAGTGTGGGTCAGGGCACACACTAGGCCTGAGGGACTCCTCAGCCAGGGGCTCTGCAAGGCTGCCACCTTTGCCAGCTCACAGGGCCTCTTCATTCAGCAGAGGAGCTCCAATCCCATTCTGCTTCTCCTTTCTAACATACTAGTTGGGTTCTTTACTAAGCCACTGTTGGCTGCCTGTGCCCTCCCAGTAGAAGACTCCCACTGTGGGGATGTGCTGGATGGGTGGGCACACCCCAGCTCAGCCAAGACAGCAGAATCTGGATACCACAAAGGGTCTCCTGATCTTGGAAGACATAAAAGAACACCTGATTCTACTGTGAAGGACACTTGCAAGGAGGATGGCATCTGTGAGGGTCACCCACAATGAGGATTTGCAGATCCACATGTCTAGGGCTTTGCCCTGGCAGGGAGACCTGATACAGTAGGCATTAGTGACTTTTCAGGTTCAGGGACAGAGAGGCCAGCAAGGGCCAGGCTTGAAAGGCCTTAGTCTGTAGCCAGCACAAAGCTGTCAGTGATTTATGATAACATTTTAAAATTCAAAACTGCATTTTAGAAAGATTCCAGTGGCAGTGTACAAGATGGCCAGGAAGAGAAACTATCCTTATCCCAACGAGTGGTGAACTGGGAAAACAGACCACCAGACCAAGAACCCTCACCCAAAGCATGCCACACATGACACAAGTAGCACACTAGAAAAATACAAGTCAGATTCCTTAGGAGCCATCAGAGCTGTTCTTCGATCAAGTGCGCTTATCTAAGATCAGCACATGCTGTTTCGCACAGGCAGTGTGAATCTAAATACATAATAGCAACAGATAGCAACGTTCCCTCTTACTGTAGATCTTTGTGGTGATGGTAGCTTTCTCATTTCTCTAGCACCTGGACAGAGTAATTTATTTCAAAGAACAACAATCAGCTTGCAAAGGTGATCTGCTCTGTCCTCTTCTGTACACGAGCATGTTCAAGAGCAATGTGTGGCAGATCTGAACAGGTTGAATGACAGCAAAATGATCATATTCCCCAAATCCCCCTGAAGTTTTGTCTTAATCCCAATGTTAGACATCCAGTCTCTTCTACTGTTTCACTGTTTCCTTCGTAAGATTTGTTTTTTTTTTTTTTTTGGTCCTTTTGAGACAGGGTCTCCCAGTAGCCCCAGCTGTCCTGGGAACTCACTATGTAGACCAGGCTGGCCTTGAACTCACAGAGATCTGCCTGCTGGGATTAAAGGCATGCGCCACCAAGCCCAGCAAGATTTGCTTTTTAAATGTCTGTGCTTTCTTAACTCTGTAATTCCCAAGACTTCTCAAGAGAAAACTCAAACCTTTCTGCCAAAGCTGATGAGTAGAAATACAATGAACAGGAACCAAGATAGCTGTGATGGTTAATTGTCAAGCTGACACAGCCTAAAGTCAGTTGGAGAGAGAGTCTCAATGAGGGATTGTCCAGTGCCTTAATTGATGTGGAGAGAACTGCCAATGTGGGAAGCAGCATTCCCTGATCTGGAGCCCTGGACTATGGAAGAGTAGAGAAGCTAGCTGCTCACTAAGCATGCATGTGTCTATTCTTTAGCTGCTCTTATATGTAAGGTGGCTGGTTGCCTGGAGTTCCTGCCCTGAATTCTTCTCAATGAACTGTTTCTCCCCCGAGGTGCTTTACGTCAGGGCATTTTATCATAGCAACAGAAGTAAAACTAGAGCACTATTATTCAACAAAATAAATGTGAAGCACATTTTTATTGCTAAATAAAACGTCCATATAAATTGGAGGTTGCAATGGTAGGAAGGGGGAGAACCTCTATCCACCACATCCAGTTTGGTTTTATTCATGGCTACTGGCCCTGCCAGGGCACCATGGTGAGACAGCACAAGGCTGTCAGTAAGCTCAGAAAAGGAATGCCCGTGCTCCACTGTGGTTGAAGGCTGTATGGGTAAGATCTTGTTGTCCAGGGACTGAAGCCCAGAAGGAATGAGAACAAGGTCAAGACGGCAAGGGAGAAGGGGACCTCACTGGTGATCCTTCTTACCAGCTTACCTTTCCTGCTACCCATAAGAAAGATGAGAAGAGCTTGGTGGAATATGAAATAAACTGCATGCACACACATTCTAACGAGTAGTCAGAGGTTGGCAACAACAGTCCTAAACCCAGACCATGACCAGTGAGGCAGGTCCTAGCTCCCATTAAAGAATTCTTTAGAAAACAAACAAACAAACAAACAACAGAATAAAGGCTTTTTTGCATCTCAATTTTTAAGGTTGCCTCAGAGTTTCATCCTATAAAAATATATGCTGGGAAATACTTTTTTGTGGCCTTGTACTTAAAAACAAAACAACAAAACAAAGTAAAACCCTAAATACTAGGGTGCTTAAAGAAATCTTTGATTTCAAAATGCAATCAGTATAGGTCAAATTCAAACTGCTACAAGGATGGTAGTATACATATACAGTCAGCTAAATGAACTGACCAGTAATATCTCTGGGGACCTTCCCTTATTTCACAGCAGTTATACTGGGAGATACTAAAGGTGGGGATACATAGTAATTGGAGGGTGTACTACACTGCTGTGTGAAGTTACCCACCTCCAGTTTGTGCGCACGCTCCCTGCTCAGTGGCTCCAGGGGAAAGCTTAGGTTATTTGCTTCCGCCAGAGAACGGAGATCAAAATAATACTTGGCATACACACTGGAAGGAACGTTGATGTTAAACTGCAGCAATTCAAGGAACTGTCTTTCCAGCTCATTCCTGTAAAGGAAAACAAAAAACAAAAAAAACAGTCACACTTAGGGGTACACCATCTGACATTCCTGACAAGTCACTGAAGACCAGACTCCTCCAGGAAGAGAAGAAAGCTAAGTAGTTGCTTGTCAGACATGCACTATAACCACCAAAAAGGCATTAAAAGGCAAATCCACCTGAGCTGGAGCCCAGAAGGACTAATTGGGATGACCAACAGGAAGTGCATTAGGGAGACTTTAGATTCATTTCCCTGAGATCTCACAGTGCTTATCCCTCGCCTGTGATGAAGCCATCAAGAGTTCTGAGGAAGAGACCAGAAAAAGCCTCAAGAGGTACCCACAGGAGAAGCTGGCCTCTGTAGCTGAAGTGAAGCCACTTTCTCAATAGTTGTTCCTGTCTTCTGGAGGAAAGGGGGTAGAGTATTTAGGGGCTTCGTGGGGGAGTCCAATCCTAGCCCTAGTTCTTAAAGGAGCTCCAGGAGCCTGGGCATCAAGCTGGGGAGGGTGGACATGCTAAAGAGGCTGCCAGAGTGCCTACCCTCCAGCTTTGGTCCAGCTGGTCTGCAGACTCACCTTTTCAAAGTTCTTATGGTGGAACTGAGGCAGCTGGCTCTGCTGCAACAGTGGGCAGAGATGTATCCAGATCCACATGGTAACTTTTATTTTGACTAACATGAATGGCAACAGGCAGAGTGGATTTTAAACTTCAGTACTGAGAACCTCTTATGTCACTCATCTTTCAACGTAGGTATATTTGTTACTAATGTGGGTTACTAATGTCCTGGTTACTTCCCCCAGAAAACAAGCACTCAGAGACACAGGGCCCACACTTTGGGTACCTGCCTCTGTCCTGTCACAATACACTGCAACTGTTAGCTGTGCTTAGCTTTTACTTTTCTCAGTTGGGCATTTAACTTTCATGGTCAGTTGAGTTTTATATACAAGCCAGAGTGGAACTAACCTGAGGGACAGCATTCTGGTGGGAAGGAACAGGGCTAAGATGGGACGCTTTCAGCAGAGAAACCTACTTGGTGGGAGGCCTGCTTTCCATTCTGTTTCAGAAGCTAACTCTGGTGGGCCTTGTCCTGTGTCAGCCCTGAGCACCACTGTTCAGACCTGAGCCAGTGAAGCTCTATCTTACCCTCATGCTGTGCTGAGTTCCACTTTAACCTGTGTTCGTGAGCCACCTCATTGGGGTGTCAGAAGCTGATTATATCCTTGTCTCCTATTGTTGGGACAAGGGACCAGACCCAGATCTTAAAGCAGGCGGGGCAGGGAGGCCAAGGTGGGTTAGTGGCTTTAGTAAGATATAGGCTACGGGACAGAGATGAACTGGAACTTCAGCAAGCAACATAAAGGAGAAAAGGCAGGAAGTTCAGTAAGTTAGTTAAGTAAGCTGCTCTCAGAAGCCCAAGTGATGTCGCTTTCAGGTTTATTTATTTGGATAAATGGAACATACTGTTTGTTTCTATATGGCCTTGAAAAAGCTCACAAGTGCCAAATGCATACTGTGCAGAATTTTATACTTTTAAGGAATATAAATTAGTGTTATTTGGGTTGATTTCTTTCTTTCCTTTTTTTTTTTTAAACTTCAAATGACTATGCTTCATTTAAGTGAGAGTAAGAGTAATCCCAGGTTGGTATAGCCTGCCTCCTGGTGGCAAAAGGACATCACTGAAGAGCTTAATCTGACACTAAACAGGAAAATCTTCATTATTTTGGCAGGTGTGATGGCATACATGTTATATAATCCCAGCACTCTGGAAGTTGAGGCAGGAAGATCATGAGTTTAGATTGGCCTATAAAATTAAAGTAAGATTTATAAAATAAAATAGTTTGCACAATTTTTATTTTCCAAACCACAGAATAGATTTAAAGGGATATCTGAACACTTGCTATGTGATAAATTAACAAAATTCTAACAGTGATGCAAAGAAAATGGACTTGATGAATTTCCTGTCCTCATTTGGGTAGTTCTGAGGAAACAATATAATAAATAACTGGTATAAATAAATTCTAGTCAATAAACAAAAAGGTCATTTCAGAAGTAAACACTGTATTAGCACAACACTGTATAGAAACACAACTGAAGTGCTGAAAACTTATTAAGCTAAAAGCGCAAAACTTGAGTAGAAAGTTTTTCAGATGAGCTGATCCAGTTTGTCTGAGAAAACTGGGCTCACTTCAAAAGCTGGCATGGATGCAGCAACAACCCTCAGGGAGTCCAGAACCAATGAAGAACTTGCAATGAGATGACTACATAGGCACATTCAAGGCACCATGATTTACATTAGTTCAATATGGAAGCAACAGGAAGTAGTGCCCACCAGCAGGCATGTGGATCAACAAGATGGGGCACTGTGCACATGATGAAAGAGTATTCAGCCTTCAAAGGGAAATGGTTCATCCTAACATGGGCAAATCTTGAGGACATTATACAAGGGCAGTTGGCCACAAGAAGATAAAAGCCCGTGTGAATTTACTCATGTGAGGCGCCATGAGGAACACACAGAGCTACACAAGGATGGCTAGGCTGGAGGGAGGGAGAGCTAGTGTCCAGTAAGCACAGGACTTCAGGTTGGACTAATGAAGAACTTCTGGAGAGGGACAGCACAACAGTAAGTTTCCTTTACTGCCGAGGAAACCCACACTGAACGAGGGTAAAAATGGTAAACGTCACCATAGGCATATTTTAATCACAAACTCAACAACACAGCAGCAGCAACAAAACCAGGCATGAAGGGAAAGATTGAGGCTCTTACAGTGCCCTTATCTACCATGTAACACTCAGACACTTGACTTCTGGTCATTTGGGATTCCCTAGGAGCCATATGAAAATGGCCCTTATAGGATTCTTGCAAACAAAAATCAAAACACACATAAACCACCAAGTGAAAATTTAGCAAGCTTTTAGAAATGACTGAGGAGGGGGTGGAGATTGCTCAGTGGGTAGCGTGCTTGTCACCAAGTGTGACGACCTGACTCAGAATCCTCAGAACCCATGTAAAAGCTGGGCACAGCAAAATGCACCTGTATAATCCCATTGCTCCTCAGGATAGGAGGTACAGGAAAGGAGAATCCTTAGAAATTCATGGGCTACCCAGCCTGGCACATGCAGTGGCCAGCAACAGAGACCCATCTCAAGGTGGAAGATGAGAACTGATACCCAAGGTTCCAATTTCAATCTCTCTCTCTCCGCCCCCCCCCCCCCCCACAGAGCTGGTATCAAGAAAACAAGTAAGTGCAGTGGCCAGCTAATACATTCCCTATTTTTGCTTCCAGCAAAATAAGAGTGGCTGGTAGACTCGTTTAAGGTTTTTTATCTAAGGCAGGGTCTCCCTGTAGCCCCAGCTGGCCTGGAACTGGCTCCTGTAGATCAGGCTGGCTTTATAGAGATCCACCTGCCTCTTGCCTTCCAAGTGCTGAGATTAAAGGCATACATCCCATACCTGGCTTCATTTAAGTAATTTGTATTAACAGGTGACTATGATTTTAGCATGTAATTCAGAAAGCATCAACAGACCTGATTAATGTTATTAGAGTTTATTTACTTAGATTTATTGAAACACGGTCTCCCTATAGCCCCAGCTAGCCTGGAACTCAGTATGTAGACCAGGCTGGCCTCAATCTCAGAGATCAGGCTGCCTCTGCCTCCCAAGTGCTGGGATTAGAGGCATGTGCCACCATGCCCAACCCAAGTGATGCTATTATAACAAGATCCTCTGTAAATCATGAACATATTTCCTCAGCTATTATAGACAGTAAGGAACAAATGGGAAGAAAACTTACATCATTAGGTAATGATAATATATGAAAAAACTAACTAATGGAAGAAAAAAAACAGCTGTGTCAATCTCATTAAGAGATTTACTCCCCACAAGATTTTAGTTTATTTCATAATTTGTAAGATATTTATATTTTTTGTTTGTTTTCTGAGACAGGGTCCAGGCTGCCCTGGAACTTGGCAGCCTTCTGAGTGTTGGGATTATAGGTATGTGCCACCATACCTAACTCTTGATACTCTTTGATCTATTGTGTGCTAAAGATGATTCAGACCTGAGGATGTTTTTAAAAATTAGAATATTGTAAGTTCAGAAAATAGCACGAGAGAGAGAGAGGGAGGGGGAGAGGGAGAGGGAGAGAGAGTATTCTGTTACAGATAATTTCAAGGGCCAGACATGGTGGTACATACATTTAATCCTAGCACTCAGGAGGCAGAGATAGGCAGATCTTTGTGAGATTGAGGCCAGCCTGGTCTCTATAGCAAGTCGGAGGCCAGTTGGGGCTTCAGAAAGACCTTGTCTCAAAGAGACAAAACAAAACAGCAACAAAAACAAAACAATCACCACAGATAATTTCAAGGAAAATATTAAATAGGAGGAAACTGGAGAAGTAATGAATTCAAAGAGATAGGAGACAGTCTAAAACCTCAGGCTCTGAGGACACAGATAATGGTGACATTCAAGCTCTAGTTCCCATGTACAATTTTAAAACAGCATCATTCAAAATGCACTGCAAATTGTGGTGAAAAGAAGTGGGGCCTTTGTGTTCTCTGAAATGGTGTCTTGTATGTAGCTAGAACTCATGATCCTCCTATACCAGCCTCCTAAGCACTGGAATTATAGGTGTCTACTGACATACCTACTGAAAAAGTTTTAGGATTACTTTAAAAGTCTAATATAGAGACAGAATTTTCTTCTAGGGATGAATAAGCAAGAAAGTGTGAAGACCTCTGTGGTCAGTTACCCAATGTGTTTCTCCAAACAGATACAGAGACGACACCCCTCAGCATAGCACTGTGAACACCATACAGGGCTTTTCCCCTCCTTGCTGACAAGCTCTACTAAAAAGAATCCCCTCCTGCTACCTTCTTTCCTTTGCAGAGACAGAATCTTTACATCTAAGATCTCCACATACATCATAACCAATTTTCCTCTGGAAAATTGGTTTCCTCTGGAGAATAGCTTTCCATGCTAACACACACCACAGATTAGCAGCATATTCAAAGCAAGCACTGTGGCTCCCAAAACAAGCGGAGGGAGCATCACTCAAGCATCTCAACAGACTGCTACATGGTCAGGCGAGATGGCAGCTAGCATGACAGGTCAGAGTTTCCAAAACCAGGCGAAGTGAGGGGTACAGGAAGCCCTGGCTCTGCCTGCCCTGAGCGGCTCAGACTCAGGTGTCCTCCAGTTTCTTCATGAGGATTATTATAATCTAACTGAACTGCAGATCCTCCTGCTTTCACTTCTGAGTGCTGAGGATTACAGGAGTGGGCTATTATACCTGGCTACAGATTGCACTCTAGAACAAATGCTCTCTGTATGCCTTCCTCCTCTGCTCCACCAATGGCACTGACCCATCATCAAATGCCACAAGATCTCATGAGATTCAGCACATGGTTTGCCTGGCAATGGGGCAGCATGGTCACCAACAAGGTTCAAAGACAGGGCAGAAACCAAGCTAAAAACTCATGACTATTCTTTTGACAAAATATGCAACAAGTAGAACTTGTGTACAAGTACCATTATTAAACTTGCCTTAATACAGTCACAGGGTGAGGGTTCCACCTCTAATTCCAGCACTTGGAAAGCAAAGGCAGGAGGACTGCTGTGAGTTCAAGGCCAGCCCGGTCTACATGGGGAGTTCTGGGCCAGCTGGGGCTACAGGGAGACTGTTTCAAAACAACAACAAAAAGGCAGTTTTAAGAAAATCCTAATTTGAAAAAACAGCAAAAGAACCAACTTCATAAGGTATTTATTAGAGGCTTAACCAACCCCCCCCAACATATTTAAACTATCTTTAACAAAATAATTTCTCTTTTGCAGTCATGGGTTTTGTGTGTGTGTGTGTGTGTGTGTGTGTGTGTGTGTGTGGCAGCAAACCCAGGGCCTTCACCATGCTAGGCAAATCTTTGTGCTACATCTCCAGCCTCCAAGCAATTTTTGACAATAATTTAATCTCAGCTGAATGAATTTTGGTCTAATTTTCTAGCTTCTCTATGTAGAAAATGAATTCCAAAAAATAACTGTCATTTAAAAAATAATACTAGATAATTCAAACAATTTCAGCTTCAGTTGTTCATAATGGAATATAAATTATGGCTTTATCACTTATTAGCCAAGGGCCCTGGGCACCATATTTAATTCTGCAGAGCCTCAGCATCATCTTTATGGGAAGAATAACAGCAATACATGGGTATTAATAATAGCTCATGGGTAACTATGAGAAATCAATGAATACACAAAAGTTGTTCCTTTGTGTCTAGAGAAGACTCAGCAATTGAGTATTATCATTACCATTGCTACTGCTTTCATAAATATTCCTAGTAGCTGAAAATAACCTACCTGCTATTTTTACTTTCTCATGTTCCTATTTAGATAGGGAGAATGCTAAGAAATGAGTATTATGGCCTTCATCATAGCCTGGGGACTAACATACTACCCATCACTGCTGGCCTCTGTTCTGATACTTTGTGGTGCTAGGGGTGCAACCCACAGCCCTGCACATGCCGTGCAAGTCACTGAGCTACACCACAGGCCTTCCTCAAAGTTTCAAACAGGAAAGTCCACTTATGCTGGTCCTGTGATCCTGCAGGTTGCGGGGCTGAGAATAAGAGCAGCTTCTTCCCGCTGGACTTTCCCTTTCCTTCCATGATTCTGTGCTATCTATACTTTGTATCTCTCTTCTGGAAGCATCTAGGATATAATGATAAGTTATTTAGGAGTAACTGTTTTCCCCAGGTGGATACAATTGTTAGAGAAACAAGCAGCTCCACCCACAGCAGTTTGCTGGTGACATTATCAACCCTATACCAACAGGAAAGGACAACAGGAAGTCAATCCTCAGTGTGCAATGCAGTCTGATGAAAGAACCCCTAATAAGGTTTCTTTCCCCTAATAAGAAACACCAGAGTCTTCACCATCTTGTACCAAGTGCCTGTTTCCTATGTGGTCTGAGTATCACCATTTAGTAGCTCCTTTCACCATGAAACATGGTAAAGAATTTTGTTTCTTGTGAAATCATTCTGATCAAATGTGATACTTCTTACTCTGATAAAGAAACAGGACAAGGGAAGGGCTCCCAGGTCTGTAGCAGAGGCCTGAGGACAAAGGTGCTTCAAGGGGCATTGCAGCATGAGGTGCCAGTAGAGCAGGAAGCAGGCACAAAGAGGGCCACAGGCTGGTGAGGATCAAGGATTGGTGTGCAAATGTGCCCACAGCCTGGTGACTCCCTCATATGGGTAGCAGTTGGGCTTTGTGAAGATCCTTACCCCAGGATTACTGGGCCCAGGAACACATGTGATTAGGATACAGTTGGTAACCTCTGGCCAGAAGCTTTCTCAAAGAGGTTGGCTGAAGACCTAAGCCAAGCAAGAAGTGCTACAAGTGATGACAAACCACAAAAGACTCCAGGTGGCTTCTAGGGCTGAGTGGTTCTACAACTCCTTTCACTTTTCTCTTTCCCTGAAACAGAGGTCTGGCTCTGTGTATAGGTCTTCTGCTAAGAATTCTCATAGGGAACCCTCACACAGCCCTGGGAGCCTGCTCCACTGGGTTGGGGAGAGAGAATGGCCAGATTTTGCTGGCCTACATCAGGCCCCAGGAATACAAGACTAACTTCCAGTAACTGAACTTGCCAAATATACCAAAGCAGGGAACATGCTCTCTGAAGCTGAATGGAAACAGGTCCTAATTTAGCTCCTGAGCTTCATGGGTCAGGGTTGCTGCCCACAGAGAAATGCTAGCACTGTTACTGGTCTGATGTAAGACTGGAGTCTAAATATGAACCCTTAGTGTGCTGGCATACACCTTCCTCATGAAAGAAAAAAGCATGTTTACCTATAACTGAATTTTAGTAAACTGCTTTTAAAAGCCAGAAAGTGTTGCTAGTACCTGTTCACAATTCAAAGACAAGAAATACAGTTTGCTGTATTTCCATAGCCAGGTCGTTGCTGGGCTAGCTCATGACAGACATTTAGCCAAATTCATTCACTCTATACTGTTCAGACAACCCAAAAGGGATGTGGTCCCCTTATCAGGCAGTTCTGAGATGTAATGATGTCCCCACTTACATGTCTTCCACTGTGATGTCTTTCAGGATCTGGCAGTAATCTACGTTCCACACAGCCTGGTCATCCCATACCTTGGAGGCCAGCAGGATCGCCCCGAGAACAATGCGCTTCCAGTTGGCGGGGCAGATGTCAATCTCTGCATATGTCAAGAGCCTTTCAAGGTATACCTGGGGAGACAATGAAGATACCAGAACTGAGTATCTTTAGTCTTCTCCTCTACACAAGTAAATTCTTCATAAATTCTAGTTCAGCAGCCTTCAAGCCGGTATTATCTGGACATGTTAAGTTTTAAAAGGCTACTTTACTTTTAATTTTTTCTGTGTGTACATGATGTGTATGTAGGAGGGGAGCATTTGCCACAGTTAATCAGTGGAGGTGGGAGGAAAGCTTTGTAGTGAAAGTTCTCTCTTCTGCCTTATGTGGGTTCTGGGGATTGCACTCTCATGGCAAGTGCTTTTATACTCACTGAGACATCTTGTTGGCACTTGTGGAGCTTTTAAAACTAAGCTTCATGGTAACTGTAGATTTACATGTGGCTGCTGATAACCCTACACTGTCAGTATTATGGTACAATGTACACAACATACCACCACCATGCGGTCATTCCTAATTATATCTGCAATGCTAGGTATGCTAAACTTTCTCGATCCATCCTCATCATCTGGGTGTAGAACTTTATATTGTCTGAAATGGAGACTACATTCACTAAGCAATCCCTCCCAGCCTTTGCAATTCTTCCCAAGTTCTCCCTAACCCAATCCCCACAAACATCACTGTGCTTTTTGTATCTATGAATCTGACTACTCATCATATGCATGCATACAACATTTGACTTCTTGTAATTGGTTTATTTCACTAAGCATAAAGTCTTCTTCAAGTTTCACCTACAACTTAACACAATTCAAGTTTTCTTTGTTTCAAGGCTGAGTAACATCCCATGGCATGCACAGTTCCTACTTTTTATACTATTCATCTGCCAGTCACCATTTATGTGGCCTTTTCTTTTGGCTACTGTGAACAATGCTGTCAACACTGGTGTACAAATATCTAGGTATCTGCTGTTCATTTTCCCAGTTCTGTGCTGTGTACTGTCTGGGAGTCTCTTGGGCCACTCTGGCCTACAACTCAAAGGAAGGCATTGTTTCTTGTTATGTAGCCTTTAGCTATACGCATGGACTATTAAAGAAATTTACTGATCACTTTACTTTTTGGTTATACTTTCCTTTTGGGTGTTTATGACCATAGAGTTGGCCCAAATAAACCAATTTATTTTTATTCTTTTTAATAGATATTTTTTATTATTTTTATTTTATGTGTATGTGTATATTGCCTGCATGCAGGTAGGTACACCTCTGTTGTGGTGAAGATAAGTCAGAGGTCCTGCTCCACCATGGTTGGCTTCACTTGGAAGCATGGAGGAAATGATTCCTCTGTGTTGACCCTCCTCTTTGTGGACTGGACACTGGTTCAAGTCCATCTGGTGGGGTCTCCTCGGCCTCTTTGATAAAGAGGACAGGTGACCTACCACCACTACAGGACATTTTGAGGGATGCTCATAGTCCCCTGGAACTAGTTGACCTAGGAGGGCAAGGAGCAAAAAGTGTCCTTTATGTCCCTCTGACCAAATTATTATAGGCCTCAAAGTATGTCTGTTAAACATCCAAGAAGGTTAGTTCCACCAGTCTGGTACTTTTAATTACTATGTGCTAGGTAGATAAAGCTTGGGAAAAGACCAAATGTTTTCAGATAAACTTTGACTAGACATATATTTTGTCCCTTGAACTAGTTGTATGTATACTTTGTTAGTAAGGTAGACTAATATGGGTCCCTCATTTTTTTTTTTTTCTTTTAAATAGCGAGGCATTATCTCTCTCACTGTCTAACCCTTTCACCATGGTTTCCCCATTTAAAGTGCCCCCATTTCTCCCTTAATAATACCCTTCTTCTGTGGTCCCACCTCTCTTGAGCTCTTTCTTTCCCTTTATCCCTAAGGTTCCATGTGTAAGCCCCCCCCCCATTAAAATAACCCCATTTTTATCCACATCTCCCCTAGTAACACCACAATCTTATCTAAAGGAATGTTGGCAACTGGTTACCGATAGATGAGGAAGAGGGGATCTTCCTAAAACAAAGGACTCTAGAAAGGCTGACTAGACTCACCAGATGGGACTAGTACTGGGGAACGCCTGGGGGCACTGACAACACAGTGGGCAGTAATAGGGATGACAGAGTATATGGGTCCAGTGGTGGTGGGGGGTGGAGAGTGTATGGGAGGGTGACATTTGGGGTGCAGGTATAAAGATGAATAAGACCATTTGGGATGTTCTGTATGAAATACACACAAAAATCAAATTTAAAAAAGTTATATTTAAGGAAGAAGCATAAAAATTTGCTTAATGTTAATTAGTGGATATGAAAAACATTACCACTGAAATCTACCTGATGAATTTATATCCATGCTCCATTGCTAAGGATCCCAGAAAGTGAACGACTGTGACTAGTAATAGTCAGATATACAGCGATTAGAGACACAGGTGCAAACATCTAAGTGTTATCTGCATTAAAAAATGGCTGCTTCTGTGGGCCTGTATGACCCATAGGCCTCTCTCCAATCTGCAGGTCTCTTTCTCCGTGGTAAGTCGATTGCGCCCTCTGCGCCTTGACTCCCCCAGCCTCATTCACCCTCCCATCTCCCCAGCGGGTCTCTCCTCCTAGCCTGGGTCCTGTCCCATCCCTTGTCTTGGTGCTCCAGACACCCGGGGAACCACCACTGCTTCCTGATCCTTTGCATCCAGACCAACTCAGCTCCTTCTTGGGTCCCCAGGAGCACTGCTTCTGGGCTTGGCCCTGCCCTCACCTCCCTCTGCTTCCCTGGGCCTGCACAACCCTCCAGCCTCTTCCCTGGACACCAGGGCTGACCTTTCCTCTTCCTGACGCTTTGAATCCAGACCAACCCAGCTCCTCAGTGCAGTCCCCAGTAGCCCATGGGGCCACTTCCCACCCCCATCTTCCTTTTCATCTCTGGCCACCAGCTGCCCTAGACCAGCATCTTTCCTGGGCCGGCTCCCAGACCAGTCCAACCCCCCAAATTCCTGAGGCCAAATTCTTTCCTGGAGGGATCCAGTTCTTAGGAGAAAGCCTGAGAGCATCTGATCCTCATCTGACTTGGGCCTCTGTGGGAACTCCTGAAGACAAAAGCAATCCAGCAACTCCAATATAAAATCAAAAGTAAGAACTGGAAGTTTAGAGGAACCAGCTTTTCACGCCCAAAAAGTAAACACAAAGACGCATAAAGTTCACAAAAAGAAGCAGACCTAAACTTGAAGGCTTGAGTCTCACACAAGAATCAGAAAAAGAAATCCATGTCAAAATCACAGAGAAAAACTAGTAGCATGAAAAACCAAAATAACATTTCCCCACCAAATACCAACAGTCCTCTAGGGGAGTACAATGAGAACCCCCTAGAGATAATGCAGGACATGGAACTCAAAAGAACAATTATAAACATGATAAAAGAATTCAGTGAATTTAAAGAACACACAAATGAAATCAAAGAACTGAAGGAAGATAGGGATAACCTTCGGAATGAATTCAGAAAAGAGTTAGAAATAATGAAGAATGGTAGCTCCAAGAGTTCCATGGTTCTTGGCAAGACTGTTGTTTGACAAAGTTCCAGCTGAAAGCCGATGGCCACTGCTCTTTTGGTGGAAATCCCTTCCCCAATTACTCCTGGTTTTTATAATTTGTATGACCTTCTCTTCTTTAAGTATTCTGATAACCAACTCTGATGACGGAATGGGAAACTAAGCCGGGGAAATCTCTGCCTTTAGCAGAATTATCATGTTACTGAAACAAAACAAAAGTAAAAAGATACGTGACTTCCTCCTATGACTGTGACCCGGTTTGGACCTACATTTGTGAATAATAATGAGGCTTGGTTTCCCCCAAAAGGAAAAGATAGCATGCAATCTCTAGATGCTCTGCTGCCTTTTACAGGAGTGTATGATTTTAACCCTGACTATTGAGACTAAAGTCTGGTATAAGGAAAAACTACTTGACTTAGGGAAAACTCCCTCTTGGATAGAAAGATTAGATAGGTCAGTAAAAAGCTGGTGGTGCATGACCTCTGAAGGAAAATTGTCTATTCTTTTACAAAGACTAAAAGTGATTCAAAAAGCCCTTAAAGATAAATGGCAACAAAATAATAAAGGATATTGAAATAGAGAAAATAATCATATGACTCAAATACAAAACGTTCAGGAAAAAATAGCAAAAGGGAGAGGGAAAAAGATATCAGAAAATTGGTTAGACAATAAATAAAAAGACTTGGTAATTCCCGTTCCCATGAGAAAAATAATTTTCTCAAATATACATGCCAACATGTAAATATTAAATTCAAAGAATTAAAGGGCAAATGGGGACAGGTTGTCTTACACTTCTATGGTAAAATAGAAATTGCAAGGCTATAAAGTAAACAATAAAGACATTGCTTGGCTATGTTAAGAAAAGGTTAATAATTGAATTTTGTACCTTCCTTTTACTGCGATTATTAAAAAATATTGCACACTGAAAAATATTGTGCAAACTCATGGTTTGATTTATGGTCTGATGCTTTACTGCTATTGTAAGCTTTCTAATTATAAATAAAGGTGGTAGAAGGCTGCTTTTTGAAAGAAGGAAAGAAGAAGCTATTTGGGCTGATCTCTCCTGAGCGAGACAGTCAACAGTCTCTACTAGAACTGAAACGATGGTTTCTGGTACACTCATTTTTGCTGCCGCAGTTACCTTCACCCCTTCAGGCTCCGGACTCAGCTGGAGATGAACTCTGGCAGAAGAATACTCAGGCACAAATAAAGAAGGAAGTGAAACACTCAGTAAGTCAATTGGAAACAAAAAGAGAAAGCCTCCCCAATAGGATGAATGAAATGGAAAACAGAATATCAAGACTAGAAGATAAAGTGGACGAACTAGATCACTCAAGCAAAGATTATGAAAAATTTAAGAAATCACAAGAATGCAATATACAGGAATTGTGTGACACCATAAAAAGACCAAAGGAATGAGAGAATCTCTAGATAATGGTATGGAACAAATCTTCAAAAGGATTGTAGAAGAAAATTTCACAAAATTAAAGAAAGACATGCCTATATAAATACAAGAAGCATAT